GCTTCCAACTGGAGGATATTCTTGTAACATCCCTTAAACACTACATTGAAATAATGCATATCCCACGTAGCCCCCAAATCCGTCTATCTTTGTGTAAATTTCGTAGGTGATATCTCTGCTGCGTAGTTTTTCCACAGCCATTTACAAGGAAAAGAATCAATATATAACTTCGATTTATTGCCCAATTTGAACAGGAATGAATACATAACTTTGACTTATTGCTTCTTTTTCCAAATTGGGTTGTGACATGTAACAGTGACAATTGATCATTGTCTTGCAGGGATCTCCAATTCCATTTACACTTAGGGAGATGATATACTTTTGTCAAACTACTAATTTTGCATGCTTTGTATCTTTGGGATTTTGAGGGATTCCTTTGGCTCTACTCTTTTAAGAGCTATGCCCTCATCCAACCCTTGGATTTTGTTATGGTTGGCAAAGAGTCCATCCTAATTGCTGTCCATGGGCAAAAACAAAATTAAAGGATAAAATACCTCTTCAGAATTTCACACCATCCTTCACAGAATCATTCAACAACACAAGTATATCACAATTGCAATGAATTATATCTAGCAAATTTCCGTATATGAGAACCATGAAAGCTACTTTCGCCACCTTGTGTTTGATGATAGATAAAATGTGCCAGTTCTGATGCCGCTTTCTGGATGTGACTATGGCACCCCTGTGCCCAAGCGTTGTTGATACATCATTTTTTGTGATTCATTATGCTATGCTCCGACCTTTACCATCTCTTGTACCATTACAGCTCCTAGGCGTCGTGTGGGAAGCAGTTGCTTAATTTGCTACTATTTGTTATGACCTCATTTTCACCTTCATGAAAAGGCATGGTTCTTTATCCAATTTCGTCCTACCATTATCTCTACCTTAACTAACACAATCATATTTACATCAAAATCGAAGACTATACAGGGCAATGTAAGATTAATTGGTGCAAAGACAATAAATGACCTTGAGAGCTACCTCTTCAGTGGTCCAAAATTGGTGTCTTGAAAACACAAGGAAGATTGCATTTGGTAGCTTATACTTCGTGCATATGAACTTAAAGCATAGGATTCAGCTTTCAGCAATTTTGATTGCCCCTTACCTCATTCATTTGTACAAATGCTGAATCCGAGGTGAAGTTAACGAAAAAATTGCTTTTTGTATCATGCGCATCTGAATATCCTCTTAAACTCGTCAGAAACCGGTGTCCTTAGTTCCTTCATCCTTGTCTGATAAAAGTCATGAAAATATCATCCACGCTATTTCATAAAAGGCTTATTTGCATGTACAAAGTGCTACAAGCACCATAAGTGATCATATGGATAAAAAATTGTTTGACAAAATAGTTACCATCATGTCATGTAGGTTTAAGTTGTTTAGCAACGTTTAGTTATTGTGTTTGACAATAACAGGAGAGAGCCTCTCAATAATAAAGTAAACTTTCTTAGTCCGAGATCCTAAGCTAGCATAGGACAAAGAACAACATTTCCATCTTGCTAAGTTCTTGCTCCTTTACCTTAAAGGTCTAAAACTCAAGAAATACTTAGCTGTACGTCCTTGTAGCTTTCCAATAATGGAAGTATTGCAACGCAAGCAAAAAGTTACTTCTCTGGTAAATTTTCAGTTAAAAAGGGTGACAAATTCTTGAAGTCATTGTAAATTTTAATGGGTGGGGTACATGAGAATGAGATAGTTTAGTCCCTGTGCAAATTATTCTTCTGCTAAATTAACCAGTCATAAAAAAGAATGTATAGTTTGGTAAACATAGGGATGTATACGTTGTTAGCATCATTTCATTCAATAATCCAACTTCTAGAAGATGACCAAAGATTTTTACTTCATCGATTCGAGCTGTTAAAGTTTTCTATTGAAATATATTGCTTGTCTGGTATACTTGAACAACCTACTCAAATTAGCCTTCAGATGCTGTTTTTCCTATTTATTTCTTTACAAAAGACATAATAATGTTGTGTTAGGGAAATTATGCTAAGATTTATTCTCAAACTAAAGAAAAGCCCGAGAGTTTAGTATTGTAGTTATGCATATTGAGATAACAGTCGTTGTGCAAGGGAAAATTATGCTAAGATTCATTCTCCAACTAAAGAAAAGCCCGCTTTTTTTCTATCAAAGAAAGCCGAATCATTTCTTGTTAAAGCAAATTAGCACCACGATTGAACCCGTTCAAGAAAGTGACCCTGTGTCATGGGCCAATACCGTTTCAGCCCTGGCTCAAGGTGGGCTTAATTCTGACATCGCCTTGCTGAGTGCCTGTCAGATGATGAACTCCGGCTCCAAGCCAAATGACTATGCTTTAGTCCACTTGATCCGTACATGTACCAAATGTGGCTGGTTTTCACTCGGCCAACAGCTTCACTGCCAAATTATAGAATCTGGGCATGATTCCAATGTCTTTGTTTCCGCCGCTTTGATCAATTTCTACGTAAAATTTGAGCTAATTTATGAAGCCCAGAACCTGTTCGATGAAATTCCTGAACCAAGTTTAGTTGGTTGGAATTCTTTAATTTCTGGGTATGTTCGTTCTGGGCAATTCAGGAAATCTCTCACCTTGTTTCTCCAGCTAGAAAAATCTGGTATTTCTTCAGATTCATATTCATGCACAGCTGCTTTGTCCGCATGTGGGCAGCTGGCTTTATTGCTGTTGGGAAAACTAATACATTCCAAGATTGTGAAACTTGGTGTTGAATATAGTGTTATCGTAGGGAACTGTTTAATTGACATGTATGGCAAATGTGGAGCTGTTGAAGAGTCTATGGTGATTTTTGATGAGATGATTGATAGGGATTCCATTTCTTGGAATTCAGTTATAGCAGCTAATGCTAGAAATGGAAGGCTTGAGCAAGCGTTAAGCTTTTTGCATCAAATGACTGATCCCGACACAATCTCTTATAATGAGGTGATCAGCGGCATTGCACAGTTTGGTAATATAGAAGATGCTATTGACCTTTTATCCAGAATGCCGAACCCAAATTCATCTTCGTGGAATTCTGTGATAACGAGCTATGTAAACCGTTATAGAGCAAGGGATGCTTTGGAATTTTTCAGCAAGATGCACTTTAGTGGTGTTCAAAAGGATCAGTTCACATATTCAAGTATATTGAGTGGGATTGCAGGTTTATCAGCAGTCACCTGGGGGATGTTGATCCACTGTTGTACAGTAAAATCTGGTTTAGATGGATCAGTGGTCATTGGAAGTGCTCTTATTGACATGTATTCAAAATGTGGGAGAATAACTGAAGCTGAAATGGTATTCCACTGGCTACAGAAGAAGAATCTGATAACTTGGAACACGATGATATCTGGATATGCTCACAATGGTGATTCCAGCAAGGTGTTGCGTCTTTTTGAGAAGTTGATGCTCGTGAAAAATTTACAGCCAGATAGAATTACTTTCCTCAATGTTTTGTCTGCATGTTGGCATCTTAGAATGCCTTTGGACGCTGCAAATCGATATTTTGAATTGATGGTGAACGAGTACAGGATTAATCCCACTGCTGAGCATTGCTCTTCCATGATCAGGATCATGGGCCAAGAAGGAAAGGTGTATCAGGCAGAGAAGATGATACATCAGCTGGGATTTGAGTCGAATGGAGCAGTTTGGAGAGCATTGCTTGCTGCTTGTGTTACTTGCGGGAATGTAAAAACGGCCAAAGTGGCAGCGGAAAAGGTGATGCAACTTGAAGGTGATAGTGAATATGTTTATGTACTGATGTCTAATGTCTACGCTTGTCATGAGAAATGGAGAGATGTTATTCAGATTAGGACAATGATGAAGGAGAAAGGGGTGAGAAAAGAGATTGGCCATAGCTGTATTGAATTGGAAAATACATTTCCAACTTCATCCATATTGTGAAGAAAATAGAGGACATGTCTACCATCTAAGGCTAACCGAGTCTAACGTTCGTTAACATCTTGAAGGAAGAATGAAACACTCGTTTATTATTGCATCCATGGTTTAAATCAGATGTACAACTTTAGATTCATATAATACTTGGTTGCAACACGAAATACGTCGACTGCAACCAAAGCTAGGATGGCATCGCTCAGTTGTCGCTTGTACTCATGCTTTGCTCCCATATATGGGGCCTACGCATTAAAATTGTGTTTTGGAGACGAGGCTGCAGACAAATTGTGAGTCAGATCAATCAAAACTAGACTCTAGTTTGGTGTTAACTCGAGCTCAAGCTGTCAAGGTCGAGCCAAGTATAGAATATATATATATATATATATTTTTACTAATAAAATTACATGTAATCTCAAAGTTTTTTATTATTTATTAACATGAAGTGTCCATATTATCCATTTTAATAAATATAATAATTATTTTTCCTTTTTTTTTTTAGCTAGACTAGGCTCAAACTTAGGGTTAAACTCAAGTTCAAGTATTATACTGAGAACTCGTCATGTTGGAGCTTAAATTTGAACTTATTAAAACTCGGTCGAGCTTCAATTGAATAAGTCAAAACTCAACTGGTTTGCAGCCCTCAAATGGGAGGTGGTGTATGAAACATTGGAAACTTTGTACTATAAACGAACCAAGAAACACATAAAAAGCGTAAAGATTTACAATATCAATTGATTCATCTCTATTTCTTGGCAATTTGAGAAATGGAATGATACCTTCAGGCATTGATGTATTGCCATAGTTGAGATATGAAAAACCACGTCACAATTCCAATTTAAATCCTAGTCCAGTAATCCAACCAAAACTCAAAGGCTGTGCCAAACATTTAATGGATCAACATATCTCGTGTGGGGTACAATAATAGCTGAATTTGCTGCTTTGCAAAGTGCAACTTTACTTTATGATCTACTAAATGTTTGCATAGAATATATGCAAATACCCTGGTAATCCATTCACAAGAAGGCATAGCACTTCATGTTCACCTATTGAAGTCACCTTGGAACTGACTGACCCAGCTCTAATTCAACAAACAAAAAAGAACTCGTATCAGAATTACAATCAAACCATGTCAAAATAAAACAAAGAAGACTTTTCTCATCAACAGATATTTCAGCAAATGACTGTTAAATAACTTGTTGCCAAATTATACAAATAATCATCTCCGCTCAGAAAATCCTCCTTGTTTTGCTACTATTCGTCTAGCGGCTCCCTAGTCCTACCTCGGCACATTCTCATCAAATTGCTTATCAGCCCGTTTTTACTATCATCTCCCAAAAGTATTTTGGGAAAACATATTCTACCACAGCTTGAGTTTGCAAGTGACTGTATAGACAGCTAGACCGAGTTCATTTCTAGCTAAAACGTCCACAAAAAGTATCTTAAGACATGTTATAAACAAAGAAAAGTCCCTTGCAACTAGATTCATTTGAGCAGGTGATGGAGCCCACCTCCAAAAACAGCAAAAATGTATCACGTTCCATCATATTCATCTGGGAAAAGGAGAATTGTCATTACAATAACATTGCAATCAAACCAAAGCACAATCGTTGTACGAAGAACATACGGGTTTCTAAACCTTTAATGGAGATAAAAAAATACTTCACCCATTATAAGGAGCCAAAGTAATTTGAAATCTTAAAAACTAGCCATTCGACCACACAGGATTGTTCAAATCTTTAGTGTAAAGGGTTTTCCCCACAAATTTTCATCCAATTTCATAGAAAGATAAGCCAGGTAGCAAACCATTGTAGTTTACATAGCAATAGGTTGGTTGTGGAACACTGTATCCCGCCCTCAAAATAAAACCATGTAGTCGATTTTATATTCTCACTTTAATGTTGAGACACTAGTAATTCATCAAATTGGAGGCAAGAGCCAGAACAAGAATAAATTCTTTTGAGTGGGTGTGGCTTTTTAAACAGAACAGATGGTTTTACTATTTGATGCAGCAATTTAGCAGATATGAAGTTGTCATGGATTTAACAAATCAAAGCTTCCTGATTTCAATTAATAGAGGTGTTCTTACATCGGCTAACTGGGGCTTCCTTTACCTAAAAGTAAAAAACTGCCCATACTAATGAAATTCCACAAAATTTTCCAAACCTCAATTCTCATGTGAGTTTAGTGAGGTGGCACATAGGCACGCCAACACAGAGACCACAAAAAGATGAACAATAACGAAGAGATCACCGAACACATACAATGCAGGAAAGTCAACTATTGAATGAGAACAGAAAAAAGTCGCCAATACAACACCCCCCCCCCCCTTTCCATAAGGCACCTCTGTGACCTCACAACCACAGAGGATAGGAAAAGAGACTCTGCAAATTCCAAATCATACACATAAAGGATGACTAAGTACTTGAGCTAAAAAGTACAAATTTCACTGTATCTCATATACAAGAGCAAATTGAGAATTATGGTCTTTTATATCCATCAAACATGTAACTAAATTCCTTAAGATTGTTAACCAAATGTCCATAACTGAATGTAATGCACTGAGTCATAATGGGAAGACCTTGTAAAATGGCAGTATAATTCTTTCAAGCTTTTGGAAACTCATGTGCCTGCAGGAACCAAATAGTCCAGGTCAGATAGCGGATAAATGCCTTCCGCCCCAAAAAGAAATGGTCAATTTGTTCCTAGCATGGTTTGTGTTGAAATACAAAGATGTTTAAGACTGGAGAAGCAAAATAACTAGTTGACCTTGGTATCTTTTGGGAGTAGAACACATTAAATTCAACTCAAATCTTAATTTATGATAATTTCTGAAATAATCGTTCAAAAGTAAAGCTTGAACAACAAAAGCGAGTAAGAAGGTTCATTCAGGCAATAGTATCCAAAAGAACAGCCTCTTTTTCTAACATGTAACCACAGTTGTGCAAAAATGCCTCCACTATTGAGCAAGATACATTATCCCATAGAACATTCAATTCCTATGCATACACATGCAGACAAGTACATCATATGTTTAAGTGGAAGCCGAGCAGTGGACTTCATCAGCTTCTACATTAACGTAAAGCACACATACAAAAACAAAGAATACATGTAATGATACTTCATGCATTATAATATATTTAACTGGCTCCGGGTAAACCTTAACAGTTGAGTTGAAGGATCCATCTATCAAGAACGTATTAATGTCATCAGAACAATGATAAGTTGAATATCAAAGAATAAAGAGAAAACAAGGATGACCATCTTCCTCTGTTCTACCAAACAAGAAGCCATAAATTCACATGTCCTATCAAGAAAAATTAATTAAAGTTGGAGGGTTCATCAACGAGATGGTACTTGCTAAAGTCATTGAAACAACGAAAAATTAGAGATCAAAGAAGAAAGATAAAACAAGGACAACCACTTTCCTGGTTTCATTATCTGTTCTATCAAACAAAGAGCCATGCATTGCCATGTCCTATCAAGGAAACTTAATTTACACGTATCCTCATATGAGATCAGCACTAAGCCACCATTAGGAGTCCTTGGACCCCTCCCCTCCGAATGTTTACAATTACTGAATCTGTGATCATGCAGAAAAACATTGCAATGCTCACGTGACATCCAACAAATTGTGCCAAAGGGTAACCTTTGGTTCATGTAAAACATTCAGCGACTGATAATCCTATCACAAATAGAACCCAATCCCTCTGATTCAAACAAAGGAAACAACAAAATGAGAACTTCATATTAAATGAAAATGCTATACCGAGCAATGCCTTTTGACTCTGGTAAACCAAAGCATTAAAAATACCTAAAAAAATAGGGAACATGTTCAAATGGTTGCTGTAGTTTAATTAGTCCTGAATTCCCAATGTTCATTCAGAGGAAAGCAAATGAAACGTTACAGAAAATATTCACTCTTCACCATTCAGCATCAAATAACCACGCCAAAAAGGACTAAAGAAAGAAACAAGCCAAATAGTACTAGCATGTCATCCTATTAATTAAAATTCAATTACAGGAATCATTGCGGAACTTCAAGAATAATAATAATAATAATAATAACATACAAGGGAAGAGAATACTAGAGCTCTGGAGAAGTGCAGCAGAGTGTACCCTGTGAAAGAGCCCTGCAACTCCTGGATGTTAAACTCAGGCACGACGTCATCCTCGCCGTCGCAACCGCGCTGTGCAGCGGTAGCATCGACTGCACCGCTCCCAATTCCGACGGAGCCCTATTGATTTCATTTCAAAAATTTTAAAAACATTTTTCTTAAAAAAAAAAAAAGAAGGAAAATATCTTAAATAAGATGCAAAGAAATGGTAAAATAATCTGAACAAATAAAAGCAACCTGGAGAGGGAGAAACGGCGGAGGAATGACGTGGTGGCGTTAGTGGATTTTGGAAACGACGTCGGAATGGATCTGTTAACCAGAGAAGAAGAAGAGGAGGCTGATTTATTGAAGGAGGATTTGAGGGATGAAATTGTAGACCTATTCATAATTCTGCTGCTGCATTTCGATGCCATTAGGAAATGGATTGAGATCTGAAGTGATGTGCTGCCAAAAATTTGAGCGACCTGAGGAAGAGGGCTTATAGAGTTTGTGGTTTACAATTTTTCCCTTTGAAGATTTTTGCGGGGGTTTAGGGTTTAAGGTTTTTCGTGAATGGGCCCGTGGAAAGTGTAAATATTTGTAACTGTCCCTCATGTTTGTTAAAATTGTGCTCAGGCTTCCCCAGCTTCCACCCCAATGGCATGGGATTTATTTTTTTTTCCTTGGTTTATAATAGTAGTACAAGATTACAAGCTACAATTGAAACCCAAAATGGTAAAATTAATACAATTGATAAAAGCAAGAAGCCATATATAGTAAACTCAAAATAATGGAGGAGGAATGTGTTGGGTGATTTATGAGTAATGAATGTAAGTGAAAAGTTCCGAATTCGAACTCTTACATTTACACTTAAAAAAAAATTTTAAAACAATGGTTAGCAAAAGCAATTATGCCCACATGCATTGAGACAAATATTTGTGGGCATAATATTTGTCTCAATGTATTTGTCACAAAAATTATCCTCTACTTTGTACTTTTCTATACTGAAATTACTTAGAAAAATGCAAAAACGAATTTATTAGGAATTTGGAGTTTAGGATAACTTCAACCATCAATACCATTTTCTTTCTTTGAATTAATCTTATATACATTAACAGTATGTACACTATCACGATTGAATTCATTGAGACAAATATTATGCGCACATATAGTGATATATGTGGGATTGTAATTTCTATGCCTAAGAGTGTATTTCAAATATTATGCCCACATATAGCGATATATGTGGGAGTGTAATTGCTATGCCTGAATGTGTATTTCATTCTACCATCAGAAGTGTATGGGAAAAGTAGGTTTTACTTTGAATTAGTAAAAATAAGGAATAACTAAGGAAAACTAAGTTTACAAATAAAAAAAATTTGGGAGAAAAATTAATCCAAATCAAAGTGTAGAAAAGTGACTTGTTAAGTTTCTCTAAACAATTTAAATATGGTTATGAGCATAATAAAGGTGATTCTGAACTGGAAAAGAAAAGCAAAACGAAAAGGATTGCTTAAATATCCCATTGGAGAATCATCTAGTGGTTCAACTATGTCTTAACAAATATTTTACACGACTTTTGGCATGGCACGGAGTGAAATCAAACAAATGATTAATCGAGGGTCAATTAGGTTCAATCTTCATGGTAGCAACAAAATTTATCCTCTACTTTGTACTTTTCTATTCTGAAATTACTTAGAAAAATGCAAAAACGAATTTATTAGGAATTTGGAGTTTAGGATAACTTCAACCATCAATACCTTTTTCTTTCTTTGAATTAAGTTTATATACACTGACAGTGCATGCACTATCACAATTGGATTCTCGATAACTAGACCAAAATTGAATTTTAATTTAAAATTTAGATCAGTTATCAAGCATCCAACAGTAATAGTGCATACATTGTGAGTTTATAATTCTGCACACTCTTAGTGTATATAAATTTAATCATTTTTCTTTTATTTTATTTTCTTTTTGTTTGATCGAATGGATATAGATATTATTACCCTTAAACAAAGCAACTACTGATTCTGAATCGATATTTGAACAAGATAACCACGAAATTATCTTGGACCCCTAATAGCAGAGATGGGGTAAATGACATCCCATAATCTTGGACAAATGCAGGTACTTCTCCAATCCTTATCTGACTCGTGCCAAAACGCCTGATTACCTTTGTGGGTCATAGACACGTGTGCCGCACGGGGCACCCAAGTTTTGGCATGTGATCTTCCAAGTAAACTATTTTTATTATCTGTTATACTAAAAAATTTTCTCCATACAACATTTTGGTACATAAATTTTTTGAGATTATATATCTTGGAGATGTGTAATCTTCGAGATATGTACATATTCATGCTTCAGGCCTCAAAATCAAAAGTAAGTTTCAAACGGGAAAGATTTTTTCAAAAAAAAAAAAAAAAAGTTTCAAACGGGGAAGAAGAAGGAAAAAGAAAAGCAGAAAACCAAAACAAAACAAACCTTCAAAAATGACACGTAGCTGTTGGACAAAGACCATAAGCGTAGCTGTCCAGCCCAAATCACAAGGACTATAAAGTCCATAACTCAAATCACAATCCAAGATGGTACCTTTTTTTTTTTCCGTAACAATAACAATTGTATAACTTATTCTAACCTAGTCTAGGAGTTAACGGAAAAACCCATTCAAAGGAACCCAATCGAAGGTGGCAACCACAATCCAAAGATGGTACTTGCTGGATCATTTTATCAATCCCTATTTAAGTCTGGTTGGTTCATGGGATGACGCATGATTGAATTAATTATTTTATATCATCTCATATTTAATTGTATTTTATACACGAGATGACATATTTCAACTAATTGAATTAATTCTCTATTCATGCGATATAATAATTTCATGAAAAGGTGGTATTAGTCATCTTAAAATGACTAAGACATAAGATGATGAATTTTTAAATCAATTTATCCTTACAAATAATATAAATTAATACTCTTATAATTATATAACATTGCCCCCATGCATTAATATAACATGAATGGACTAGTCAGTGATTTATAGCTTTCTGCCTTTCTTTGTCTCCGGAACACACACTTCTAGAGTCCTACGTCAAGCAAAAGAGATCTTTGCATAGCGTTAGGTGAACCCCATTTGTATCTATCTTCTAAGTTCCTTTCTTTCTTATATCCTCTTTCCGAGCCTCCAAAAACAATGCTACTTTGCCAAAACCAAAAAGTTCCTTGCTTTTACAAAGGTAAATAATCAGTCTTCTCTTTCATGTTTTCACGGTATTGTCTTCCAATTTGGTTTAAGAACACAAGAATGATTCTTTTGAAAGATGACATCCCACGATGCAAAAGAATGTTCTTTACTTCCTTTTCAGTGTAAACAATTTTTTTCTAAAAATTTCAACATCAAATAAAACCTATAAGTATCAGATAAAGAAAAGGCAAAAAAAGCCAAAAAGGAAAAACCTATGCAATCATAATCACAAAGAAAAAATGAAAACCACCATGACCAAAAATACGGTGGTCCACTTGGAAAATCTTCTTCTTTCCATGTAAATGCTCCGACTTGAGGAAATATCCGATTCATATAAAGAACTGTACTTGAAATTTGGGTTTGACCCGTATAAGGCCTGGATCCCTTCCACGTCATCAATTCTTAGGTCCACTTTCTTAGTCCTAGGACTCAAACTTGGGTACATGACTGCGTCCTTAACCGCCGAGTGAGCCAACCCAAGTATGTGCCCGATCTCATGGGTCGCCACTGATTCCAAATCAACCGCGACCTTTGACTTCTGTTCTTTGAAATCAACGGCCCACGCTTCAGCACCGTCCAGGTGGAGCCTCCCATTTTCGGGCGAGAAAGCGTGTGCTAGCACTCCCAACACCCCGTCAAACGGCTGTCCGTCCCCGTGATCCCCCCGGTACCACCCGATTTTTATGTCTGCTGAATAATAGTCGTCCACCTCTGTGAAGTTCACCGGAATCACCGACGACCACCGGGCGAAAGAGCGTTCAAAAACAGCTCTTATATCAGCCGAACTTAGATAGTCTATGGTATGATCCGGCGAGAAAGCATATGTCAAAATCATGGGAGATGATCTATCCCACCTGGGCTCACCGTCAAAATATGCATAGTGAATTTTCGCATGCAACTTCTGGGCCGTGCGAGTTTTTTTGTCGCTAACGCCACACCTCGGCGACGTAATTTCTTTCATGGTATCAGAGTCGAGCCTTCCAGTCGCGGGTAATCCAAGGTTTTTCTGATACTGGAGCACGGCCGATTCCAAGTCTTCGTCGAAAGAATCCGTGAGGTTTTGGTTTGGGATTGATAGGTAGCCGAAACGTTGGAAGTACTTCTTGAGCTCCGACATGCCCCTGAGTTGGCTGCCCTTCTCGGCGTCCAGGAATCTCATGAAGCTGTGCCACGTGGCGTTGCTGTTGGTCCGGACATCGGCAGTTAATTCAGTTGAAGGGTCAAGAAGCTTTCTGGCGGGAAGACACGGGACAAAAAGGAGGAGGGTGAACAAGGAGAGGAACACAAAGTTTTCATAATAATAACTGAAAAACGGCAACATGATGATTAGTTATTTCGAGGTTGGAGCTGGCAGCCTTTTTGTTTTCGTGTGGGGAGAGATTGGGGAAGCTTTATTAATACTAAGAAGAAATAGTAATTTACCGTCGACCAAACAAACTTTGTTTACTATTCCAAAGGAAGAGAGCATGGTTTTGAATATTACTATGCAAATACTTATTTTTAGTCCGTATCGAGGGAGAGCATATATAGCCGAGGACAAGATGATTGCATAAGTAATAATTTGGAGAAAGTTAGGAAGATTCTTCCGTGTGGATGCGAGTCTTTCAGTTTCGGATTCGGACTTAATTTGATCGAGGGTGTAATACTGTAATGGTGGGTGAACCACTGGCTGTTTTTTTTTTCCTTTCATGGTCTGAATTTGGATGGGAGACTGATTAAGCCTTGGACCATGATTGTTTTTTAGGTGGATAGGAAAGTGGATCCACTTTATTCTATGATTTGTTGTTGTTTAGGACTAAAATTCTGTGAAATTTAGTTGTGAAATTGATTAGTTTGTTGACCAAATTAGTTGATATTTACGTCATCAGAAGTTTACTTGTACGATGCGATGATCGATCTTAGAACATATAACTAAAGGGTATGCTCAGTTTACATATGTAAACTTTGTGCGTCTTATTCAATCGAAGACTTGGAGAGGGGCCAGCCAGGCTTCTTTTTTGGAGGAAGACCAGAAAACACGATTACAAATCAAAGTTAGTAACTCTACTTTTGATGATACTAAAAGTGGGTTTAACTATGGACAAGGATTTAAACTGTATGTCTATGTGTAACGATTTATCCATGCATTAATTAATTTATACGTAACGCGTATTTTCTTAATTTTCTATTATTTTGAACTTAGGAAAAACATGATCGGGTGCCGGAAAGTTTAAAAACTTATTTAGTGAAGGTTACAACGAAGTAATCTAAATCTATTATGAATTTTGGCTAAGGTTGAGAGTTCA